TTAGCAATCCTAATATCTGACTAATTAGACTTTAAAATAAAATCAATCAAAAAAGATGAATGAGGTCATTATATACACATCACAGGAGAAATCTACCAAGATGAAGTTTCAGTTCTGAACATCTATACCCCAAATACAAAGGCATCCAGGTTCATAAATAAACATTGCTAAAACTCAAGTCACATATAAAGCCCCACACACTTATAGTGGGATACTTCAACACCCCACTCTCACCACTAGACTAGAATACCAGACAGAAACTTAACAAAGAAGCAAACGGTCTAATAGAAGTTATGACCCAATTGGGAGTAACAGACATCTATAGAACATTCCATCCACATAAAAAAGAATACACCTTCTTCTCACCACCACATGGAACCTTCTCAAAAATCAACCATGGACTTTGCAAAATATCAAACCTCAGTGTGTACAAAAAGTTGGAATAACTCCCTGCATCTTATCAGACCACCATGAATTAAAATTAGAATTCAACAACAACACACATTGCAGAACCCCTACAAACACAAGGAAATTGAATAATGCACAACTGCACCATTCTTGGGTCAAAGAATAAGTAAAAAATGAAATTAAAGATTTCCTAGAATTCAATGAGAATTAAGCCACCCATACTCAAACCTATGAGACACTTTGAAAACAGTGCTAAGAGGGAAATTCATAGCACTAAGTGCCCACATATAGAAACTGGAGAATAGTCATACAAGAGAATTTACAGCATAGCTGAAAGCTCTAGAACACAAAGAAGCAAACTCCCCCAGGAGGAGGAGATGCCAGGAAATATTTAATCTGAGTGCTGAAATCAATAAAGTAGAAACTAGGAAAACAATACAAAGAATCAATACAACGAAGAGTTGGTTCTTTGAGAACATCAACAAGATAGACAAACCTTTGTCCAAACTTACCAAACAGCAGAGAGAGAACATGCAAATTAACAAAATCAGAAAAGAAAAAGGGGACATCACAATGGACTCTGAGGAAATTCAGAGAATCATAAGGTCATACTTTGAAAACCTGTACTCTACAAAATTCGAAAATGTAAAGGAAATGGACAATTTTCAGGATAGCTATCACTTGACAAAATTAAATCAAGAACAGATAAGCAGTTTAAATAGACCTATAACCCCTATGGAAATAGGAGCAGTCATCAAAGGTCTCCTAACCAAAAAAAAAAAGAATCCCAGGTCGAGATGTCCTCAGTGCAGAATTGTACCAGATATTCAAAGAGAAGCTTATAACAATTCTTCTCAAAGTATTCCACACAATAGAAGCAGACGAGTCTTTGCCAAACTCTTTCTTTGAGGCTTCAACAACCTTGATCCCCAAGCCACACAAAGACAAAACTAAGAAAAAGAACTTCAAACCAATATGCCTCATGAACATTGATGCAGAAATACTCAATAAAACACTGACAAATCAGATCCAAGAAAACATCAAAACAATCATTCACTACGATCAAGTAGGTTTCATCCCAGGGGTGCAGGGATAGTTCAACATATGAAAATCCTGCAATGTAATCCACCATATAAACAAGCTGAAAAACAAAAATCACATGATCATCTCACTAGATGCAGAAAAGGCCTTTGACAAATTCCAACATCCCTTCATGATGAAAGACCTGGACAGATCTGGAATAACAGGAACACACCTAAACATAATGAAAGCTATATACAGAAAACCAACAGCCAACATCAAACTATATAGACAGAAACTCAATGCAATTCTGTGAAAAAATCAGGAACAAGCAAGGCTGTCCACTCTCTCCATACCTTTTCAGTATTGTACTGTATGTTCTAGCTAGAGCAATAAGACAACAAAAGGAGATGAAGGGTATATAAATTGGAAAGGAAGAGTACAAACTTTCACTATTTGCAGATGATATGATAGTTTACACAAATCTTCCAGGGAACATTTACACCTTATTAACACCTTCAGTAGAGTGGCAGGCTACAAGATCAACTCAAGAAAATCAGTAGCTGTACTTAATACAGACAATAAAAGGGCTGAGAAGAAATCAGAGAAACATCACCCTTTAAAATTGCCAGAAACAATATAAAATACCTTGGGGTAATGCTAACCAAACAAGTGAAAGTCCTGTATCCCAATAACTTTGAGTTTTTAAAGAAAGAAATTAAAGAAGCCCTCAGAAAATGGAAAGATCTCCCATGCTCTTGAATAGGTAGGATCAATGTAGTAAAAATGGCAATCCTGAAAAAGCAATCTACAGATTCAATGCAATCTCCATTAAAATACCAGCACAATTCTTCACAGAACATGAAAGAACAATAATCAGTTTTGTATAGAAAAACAAAGACCCAGGATAGCCAAAAAACCTTACTCAACAAAGCAACATCTGGAGGCATCACCATCCCTGAACTCAAGCTCTATTATAGAGCTGTAGTCCTGAAAACAGTTTGGTATTGGCACAAAAGTAGACAGGTAGACCAATGGAATTGAACTGAACATACTCATATTAACCCATACATGTATGAATATCTGATCTTTGACAATGAAGCTAAAAATATACAATGGAAAAGAAAGCATCTTCAACAAATGGTGCTGGCATAACTGGATGCTGGCATGTAGAAGAATGTGGATAGATCCATGTGTATCGCCATGCCCAAAACTTAACTCCAAATTGATTAAAGACCTCAACATAACTCCAGCTACACTAAACCTCTTAGAAGAGAAAGTGGGTGGCACCCTTGAACAAATTGGTACAGGAGACAGCTTCCTGGACATAACACTAGTAGCACATAAAGTGAGGTCAACAATGAATACAAGGAACCTCCTGAAATTGCAAAGCTTCTGAAAGAAAAAGGACACAGTCAGCAAGACAAAAAGATAGCTCACAGAATGGGAAAAGATATTCACTAACCCCACATCTGACAGAGGGCTAATCTCCAAATTTAAAAAGAACTCAAGAAGCAAGTCTCCAAAATACCAAAGGATCAAATTAAAAAGTGGCCTCAGAACTAAATAAACAATCCTCAATGAAGGAATGTAGTATGGCTGAGAGTCACTTGAAAAAGTGCTCATCATCCTTAGCCATCCAGGAAGTGCAAATCAAAACAACTCTGAGATACCATCTTACTCATGTCAGAATGGCTAAAATCAAAAACACCAATGACAATTTATGCTGGAGAGGTTGTGGTGAAAGGGAAACACTCCTCCATTGCTGGACATCCACTTTGGAAAACAGTATGGAGAATACTCAGAAATATGGGAATAAACCTACCACAAGACCCAGCAACTCCACTCTTAGGCATATATCCAAAAGATGCACATTCATCCAACAAGGACATCTGTTCCACTATGTTCATAGTAGCAATATTTGTAATAGCCAGAACTTGGAAGTAACCTAGATGCCCCTTCACAGAAGAGTAGATAGAGAAAATGTTTTACATTTACACAATGGAGTACTATTCAGCAGGAAAAAACTATGGAATGCTGAGATTTGCAGGCAAATGGATGGCACTGGAAGAAACCATCCTGAGTGAGGTAACCCAGTCACAAAAAGACAAACATGGCATGTACTCTCTCATATATGGATTTTAGACATAGACCTTGGGAGTGCCTGGCTACAATCCCATGGCCAGAGAGTATGCTAAACAGAACCTTCATTCAATGGCTGATGGAAGCAGAGGCAGTCTCCCACAGCTAAACACTGAGCTGAACTCAAGGAATCCAGTGACAGACAGTGAGGACTGATGAGCAAAGGCATTAAGACTGGGCTGGTTTAACCCCCAGAAACAGCTGACCTGACAATGATCAGCTCTTGAATCCCAGACTGATAGCAGGGAATCCAGCATGGGACTGTTCAAGATCCTCTGAATTTGGGTGTCAGTGAGGAAGCCAAGATAATCTATTGAGCCTTGGGTAGTAGATCAGTATTTATCCTTGGTATACAAATGGACTTTGGGTTCCCATCCAACAATGAGAGATGCACTCTCACCCTGGACTCTTGGGGGAGGGTGTAGGCCCTGCCCTGGATAAAATGACAGATTATGGACACCCCCATCGAGGGCCTCACCCTCCCTGGGGAAATAAGGTGATATTGGAGGGGTTGGTGGGAGGGTGTGGGAGGAGGGGAGGGAAAGGGAGAGGGACCTGGGATTGACATGTGAAGCAACCTTTTTTCTAATTTAAATTTAAAAATAAATAAATCAATAAAAAGAAAAAATTTAGGTTGGTGTTTGCCTAATTAACATATCATGGACGTAATCAGTTTCAGGTCTGCTTCTTTAGTAATTACTAAGTTTCCATTCAGTCATAATAATCTTATAGTCCAAAACATCATATTTAATAAATCTATGTCTAGGTTTAAATCATAGTTGATCTAAACTTTTTCTTAGGTGTTAACTTCTATTGTTCCACCAAGCCATTTTATGTCTACAAATCTTAATTCTCATTTACTGAATTACATTATGTTGCAAAATGGATTGCATGGTTGAAACCTGGTTTACAGAGTAATCAGATACTGCTTTCAATTTCAAATCCTAACATGGGTATCTATGCAGTAGACATAGTGAAGTATTTAGTGGGGCATCTGATAGAACTCCCTCCATCTATTAAGTCAAAGGATAACTTCAGCATCCTGGGTTGTTTCCTTCTAAGAAAAGTCCAAGTGCAGACCTTGAGTCTGACCAGTAAGACAGAAGGATAAACTTAGAACTTTCTACATGTTTGAGGAAGAGATGAGGTAGAGGTAGTGAGGATGCAGAGTCAGGAAGCTAAGGATGAGTTGTGCACAGAGCTTAATGTGGGACAAGTCATTTCAGTTAGAGCCACATCCAGTGCTGTGGTCTATCTTAACAGAGTGTGACACAGTGCAGGGCATCATTGCAACATTAACCACCATATTGATCCATAGACTGACACCTGTTGATTCAGAATCACCTTTGAGGGAGCAAAGCTTGGTACTGCTTTGTGCTGCAGAACTAAAATTTCAGAGTGTAACTATTCACACAACTTAACAGACCCTCAATGACTCACATCAATAGCATTTTGGATAGCAGTATGTCCATTCCAGGCTTCATCCACACATCCCGTATGGGTAAAGGAGAGAACAGTCTCCTGATGCTTGTCCTCTGAGCTCCTCACATGCACTCATATGCACATTACTGTGAACTCGTATGTACACACAGAGTAAATTTTATATCCACTGAGAGACGTGTGTGAATGTGCAATGATATGTTATGATAAAGTTAATTACCTGGTCTTCTGTAACTATCAATCCATGAGACAACAATGGATAAGCAGGAAGGCTACCTTCTGGAGGACAGACTCTCAACACTTCCTCTTATACCTGGGCCCAGGGTGTAGAGAGAGCAGCCACAGCTGGAAAATGTCAACAGGGACAAACCAATGAGAGTGGAGGATGCTAAAGACAGGAATTGGCACTGTAGCAGTAAGAAAGGACACCAGATTCCACAGGCTCTGTGGGATTAGATTCAGCATAGTCCCTTCCAATTGCGGAGGACAAAGCTATGCATCTTAGTCCAGGCATGGAGAGAAGGGACTACACAGGAATTGAGTCCAGTGGAGAGTGAAAACCTGAGACTAAGAATTCTACCGGTGACAACAAAACCTTTGCTCAGTGTACCACCTTCACACATCGGGCCTGATAAAGACCTAAGTGCTGGAAACCTTGAACCTGACTCTGGCAGGGGCCTTACACGGTCCTTCCCACAAGTCACTGTGATGCACGAACCACGGGGGACCCTGAGATCCACCTGACAGAGCTCCCTCTCTTGTTCCTTATCAGGCTGCATGGATTCTGTGGAACTGATGTTTCAATCCATTGCTCTTTTCCATTCAGATCAGTAGTCCCCTTCTCTTCAGTGACACATTTTACTATAAAGCATCTGTGCATGATAAAAATGAAAGTGAAAGGCATCTGTTCTTTCCCCAACTTGCCCTTCCTGATAATGAGAAAACTGGCATTAGGGAAACTCCCAGAATTCCACAAGGATGACCCCAAATAAGAAATTAAGCAATAGTGGAGAGGCTACCTTAAATGCCCTTCCCCTGTAATGACATTGATGACTACCTTAAATGCCATCATAGAGCCTTCATCCAGTAACTGATAGAAGCAAGAGCAGAGATTCACAGCTAAGCACTGAGCTGAACTCCTGAAATCCAGTTGTAGAGAGGGAGGCAGGATGAGCAAATAGGTCAAGACCATGAGGGGGAAATCTACTGAAACAGCGGCTCTGAGCAACTGAGAGCTCACAGACCCCAGGCTAATAGCTGGGGAAACTGCATAAGACTGAAGTAGGTCCCCTGAAGGTGGGTGTCATTTGGAGTCTTGGGCAGTCTATGGTGCCTCTGGCAGTGGAACCAGTATTTATCCCTAGTGCACGAACAGGCTTTTTGGAGCCCATTCCCTGTGGTAGAATACTCTCTCAGTCTAGATACATGGCAGAGGGCCAAGGTCCTGCACAAAATGATGTGACAGACTTTGATGAATCCCTATGTGAGGCCTCCCCCCTTCTAAGGAATGGATGGGGAGATGTTGTGAGGAATGGGAAGTTGGGAAGAAGAGGGAACTGGGATTGGTATGTAAAATAAGATTATTTTTATTTAAATTTAAAACTCAATAAAAAGAAGAAATGAAATGGATTTTGTTCTGTGGAAGTATCTGGTTTTTATAAGTTTGTTTTGAATTTATATATTTACCATAAAATGTATTTAATGAATTTTATGTTTTCAATATCAGCCATAAGTATGTTTTTACACCCAATAATTTTCATGTTTCCATGTGAAAGGTGTATCTCCTATTTTATTTCTGGCAACAATGTGTTCTCCTAAAGAACCCATGATATGAAGGCACTTGTAGTCCCACTATGGCAAAATAGTGTATAGGACCTTAGAGTGGGATACTTGCTTCAATTTCAAGTTGTGTGAAGCTTAAATTAGTTTTACATTAGTATCCAGAAAATCCTGTGAAGGGCTTTCTCTAAGACAGGATAAATCCTGTGCTCATAGAGTGAATTACTTCTGGATACAGAGACATATAGATACAACACCAATCACACCAATCTGCTTACCTGGAGTCGAAGCAACCTGGACCAGAAAACCACAGGAGGCTGTTCTGAAATTGCTGCTGTATTGCTGATCTCATCCCATCAAGCTCAGCACTCCTGGATGGTTGTCACAGTGAGGATCTGGAGGATGCTCTGGGTTCTGGAAGAGGAAAGAGAAAACATAAGCAGTTCCTCCTGCAACACAAGGCCATGTGAGGGGAAAAGGCTGCACCACGGCCTTAAGGAAGCAGAAAAAGGACTGAAGATCTTATGAACTGATCCAGAAGGTACTTGATGGAGCTCAACACGCACTCCAAGTAAAACTCATAGCTTCCTTGAAAGGAGAATTTGATTTATAAACACCTGTGATCAATGGCATGCTTCAGTGTGAGCAAGGAAAGAACATCCTCCCTGACCACTCCTTCCTGTTCTGTTAGAGCTGAAATAGAAACCCAGGAAAAAAAGTACTGTAATATATAGATAAGGGAAAGAACACACAAAACTCAAATATTCTTGTCTATGAAGAATGTACACCCAATACAATAAAAATCCTCCAGGAAATAAAAAGTGAATCACCCAAGACAAGACTGTGAGTGCAAGATTATTCTAGAAAAGTCAGAAACTCATTGTAGTTTTAGTGGTATTTCAGTCAAGAGGAACACACATACATGTGCAAACACACACATATACGTATATATCGAATGATATATGTCTACACATATAAACACAATAAAAACACAGCAAGCACATTCTCACAAACACACAAAGTGATGCACATATGGTTATGTGCACATATCCACAAACATGGACACACAAACATGTATGCACGGGCAGGAAGATGTGTACATTTGCATTCATACACATGATCACATACACTCATACAGACACACAAAAGCACATCCAAGAACACATTACTTGCAGAACCTAGGCACTGCTGCCTAGGGATGACAGTACCACCCACAGTGGGCAGGCCCTCCTGTATCAATTGTGAATCAGCTTGGTATTTGCACAAAAATAGACAGGTAGACCAATGGAATCGAATTGAAAACCCGGATATTAACCCACACACATATGAACATCTGACCTTTGACAAAGAAACTAAAAATATACAATGGAATAAAGAAAGCATCTTTAAAAATGTAACAAATAGTGCTGGCATAACTGGAGGCTGGCATGTACAAGAATGTGGATAGACCCATGCAGATAGAGCCATGCACAAAACTTAAGTCCAAATGGATCAAAGACCTCAACATAAATCCAGCCACACTGAACCTCTTAGAAGAGAAAGTGGGTGGTACCTTTGAATGAATTGGTACAGGAGACAGCTTCCTGAACATAACACCACTTGCACAGACAGTGAGATCAACAATTAATAAATGGGACCTCCTGAAACTGAGAAGCTTCTGTAAGGCAAAGGATACAGTCAGCAAGATAAAAAGGCAGCCCACAGAATGGGAAAAAATATTCACTAATGCCACATCTGACAGAGGTTGATCTCCAAAATTTATAAAGAACTCAAGAAGCAAGTCTCCAAAACATCAAAGGACCCAATTAAAAAGTGGGCTGCAGAACTAAATAGAGAGTTTTCAATAGAGGAGTCTAAAATGGCTGAGAGGCACTTGAGAAAGTGCTCAACATCCTTAGCCACCCAGGAAATGTAAATCACAACAACTCTGAGATACCATCTCACTCCAGTCAGAATGGCTAAAATCAAAAACACCAATGACAATTTATGCTGGAGAGGATGTGGTGAAAGGGGGACACTACTCCATTGCTGGTGCGAGTGCCAACTTGTTCAGCCACTTTGGAAATCAGTATGGAGATTCCTCAGAAAAATGGGAATACACCTACCACAAGACCCAGCAACTCCACTCTTAGGCATATATCCAAAAGATGCCCATTCATACAACAAAGATGTCTGTTCCACTATGTTCATAGCAGCATTATTTGTAATAGCCAGAACTTGGAAGCAACCTAGATGTCCCTCAACCAAAGAGTGGACAGATAAAATGTGGTACATTTACACAATGGAGTACTATTCAGTAGATAAAAACAATGGAATCCTGAGATTCTCAGGCAAATGGATGACACTAGAAGAAACCATCCTGAGTGAGGTAACCTAGTCACAAAAAGAGAAACATGGCATGTACTCTCTCATATATGGATTTTAGACATAGATCTGGGGAGTGCCAGCCTACAATCCCATGGCCAAAGAGTCTGGGAAACAGAAACTTCATTTAGTGGCTGATCGAAGAAGAGGCAGACTCCCTCGGTTAAGTACTGAGCTGAACTCAAGAAAGCCAGTAACAGAGAGGGAAGACTGATGACCAAAGGGATTAAGACTGGGCTGGTTTAACCCCCAGAAACAGCTGACCTGACAAAGGTTAACTACAGCTGACCTGACAAAGGTTAACTCTTGAATCCCAGGCATCAGCCTGGGAATCCAGGATGGGACTGATCAAGACCCCCTGAATGTGAGTGTCAGTGAGGAGACCTAGGTAATCTATTGAGCCTTGGGCAGCATATCAGTACCCATCCCGAGTATACATAAGGACTTTGGACTCCCATCCAACAATGTGAGGTGCACTCTCACCCTGAACTCTTGGGGAAGGGTCTAGGCCCTGCCCTATATGAAATGATAGACTATGGACACCCCCATGGAGGGCCTCACCCTCCCTGGGGATATGAGGGGATAATGGGGGGGAGTGGGCACGGGAGGAGGGGAGGGAAAGGGAGAGGGACCTGGAACTGACTTGTGAAGCAACCTTGTTTCTTATCTAAATTTAAACTGAAAAAAAAAAACAAATGATCACATACACTCATACAGACACACAAAAGCACATACAAGAACACATTAATATACACATCACACACACATGAACACACACTTATATAGACAGATACATGTTCCTACATTGACAAACACATCACATACACTTAAATGTAAGCACACATATTTAGTTTTCATAATGGCCATTGAATGTTATTTAAAGTACTGACCACATACTCATGAAATCTGGGAAGCCTACAATGTCCTCTTTGTGCACTACAAATCCAGAACAACCTGAGAATCAGGGAGGAGAATCATGCTGCCCCAGCACACATTAGAGTGGTTTAAAATATCACTCTCAGTGTTCTGAGAAGTATGTTCACAGCATGGGCAATGACATGAGGACAACGTGTCATGGAGAATTCTGGGTGTGGTCCCAAGAACCATCAGAGAGGACCTTTCATCCTCACCTTGCAGGGGAACCAGTGTCATTACAAAGTGGCTTTCCCATGGAGAGGCTCATCCTCCACTCTCTGAAGTGCTCACTTCTGCAGTTTCCACTGATGAGGTAAACTCAAGCACACAGTTTGTGATAGCGAAGGCTGAATTCACACTTTCATCTGTAAAAGGAAAGGGGCATTGTGTAAAAGCTAATGTGAGTGAAATGTGGATTTCCTTTCAAAATCTTGTGTAAGATTGACTCATTCTATGTGACATCTTCAGCCCAAAATACTGAGTTGACAGTGGGAAGTCACTCATGGCATCTGAAAAGGTCTCTGCAATGTCTTTGTACTGCTCGTGTAAGACTAAAGCCTCAGTAAACTGAAAATTCCTTCCACAAACAAAGAGTAATCATGTGATAGATTTCCTTTTCCCTGCAATAACACACAAGCGACAGGCTCATGGAGGAGGCTCTAGTCACAGTGGCTCCTGGAACCTTCACTACTCAAACACATCAGCTACTTTTTTCACTGCACTGTATTTATGGTCAGTTTGTCAACAAAATACTTTATATCAGGATAGAAAAAAACAGAGTGCCATGTTGCAGAATAATCGTGTGCAGTGTTTGCTACAAATGGCTTTGTCTTATTTCTGTTGGCAAGAATTCTTTACTTAGTTCATTGATGAGACAGGAGGAAAGTACCTTTTTTTCTTCATGAACAGTTATTGTGGCTCCCCTTTCCAAGTAAACTGGGTCAAATGTCAAACCAACAGCCATGCTGACACCTCACGATATATCTGTATTCTACTTTGCTCACTTTATAGATACTTTAAATATGTTTACTTCGTCCTGCTTATACTTATCTATGTCAAAATAATAATCTGTCCTATAAAATATTTTTAAAATAATTGCAGACAATAAGCTAATTTAATACTAATGAGCACAATTCAATTTTTACTTTTCAAATCAATTCTTCCCCAACTCCTTTTATAACATTATAACTAGGATGTCTCTGAAATATTATTATAAAATATTTGATTAAAATAAATCTATAATATATTACAAGTTGGTTCTAACAAACACATTAAAATGCTGCAAAACTTATTTTATTTGTTGTCAATCTCTAGAATAATTAGCTTAACAAGAATACACAGGAAAATGGAATTATCCCATTCTCTGCGTCCAGCTCACCAATAGTTTTCTGTCTCCCTGAGAAGGGCTATGAAAGCCTGACTCTGGCTGTTCTTGTACTCTGTCCCTAGGACACAGTGAAATGTGAGAGTTGAACTGTGAGGAATGATGACCACTTGCCCAGGTGTCCTGAGTGAACCCACACTTCATTCCAGCAGGGAGGTTCCAGGACAAGGCTGGCCATGGAATATACTGAAGCATTTTATCTACTGCATGCAAGTCATTAAAGCCAAGACACTCAGCTTTAGAGGGGGAAGCAGAGTTTAGTGAAGTCAAACATGTGACACCAGTGTTTTTTCTGAGTTCAGGGTATGTGTTGGTGCATAGAGTCAGTGATAGAGCATGGATGTAGATACTTCTTTTATCAGCTAGCATCTGTTTACAGATAGAGTCCTGAGAAAATTTATCTATGATGCTCAATAGACAACACATTCATACAGTGCCATGCACAAAACATGTCTGAAAAAACCTTTGAAATTATAGTAAAAAAACAACTCATGAGCATTTCCTATATTCTCATTCCTCAGATTCACATAAAGAAAACTGGAATATGAGACATGATATCTGCCTCTGGTGGACACATGACATATAGTCATTGAATAATAAAACTAGAGTGTCCTTGCAATCGCTGCAATAGAAATCATCTACAGCCTTCCTTCCCTAAAAAGTATCATTGCATTCATTTCTTGGGCACTCTCACCACAGAGAGTAATGCCTGTGGGTCAGTAAAGGGCCTGCAGATGAAGCTCTCCAGAGACAGCTTCAGGGAACAGTCTGCTTTAATGCCCATGAGCACTACTTGTATACTGGAAGCCTATCGACTGGTTGGTAAGCACATTGCTTAAGATTAAGTAGTGAGAGTTCGTACCACCAAAGTCTCTATGAGGAAGAAGCTCATAAAAGGTTTCAGGAAGAAACAATAGTGTCAAACAGGACACTAGGCACACTATGTGCTTGTGTCACAGCTATGCAATGCCCCGTGTTGCTTAACAAGCTACTAGCCAACCTGCACAGCTTCCACCCTCATGCATCATTATTTTCCCAGATAACAAGCACATCCTCTTCACAGAAATCTTCTCCAAGTTTGATACCACAAAACTGTCATAGAATAATACTCCTGTGTACAAGTCATCTCATGAAGGAAAAGCTTGGAAATAGATTTATTTTACATTGAGAATAGTTTCTCTTAATATATGTAATAAATATTTCAATGATAACAAATACGGGGTGAAACTGATATAAAGAAAATTGTAATCGAATAAGCAATTAAGGAAGTGTAAGGAAGGAGACAGAACTTAAGTGCACTGAATAAAAGCCTGGAGCAATTACACACCTTGAAATTGCTTTCTATTGCTGTGATAAAACCCTAACTAGAACCAACATGGGGAAGAAAAGGCTTACTTTATACAACAGCTTGTGGTTCAGCATCCAGGGAAGCCAAGGGAGCAGTTCAAGGGCAGAGCTTGAAACAGAAACCAGGGAGGAACACTGCTTACTGGCTTGCTCCCTGGCTGAAGCTCAGCTACTTTCCTTGCCCAACCCAGGCACTGCTGGCTAGGGATGACAGTACCACCCACAATGGGCAGGCCCTGCTGTATCAATTGTGAATCAAGAAAAAGTCCCAGACAGGCCCAGGGTTCTTAACTGGGTATGAAGGTGGCATCCAAGATTCCCTTTCACAGTGTCCTGGAGCAAAGGAGCTGGAAGATTTCAGGATACAGGATGTACCATGCCCTTGGACCATCATCATCTGCCTCTGCTGACTTTGGAGCAGTTAGAGAAGTCAGTCACTCTAAAGATGGGGAACTTCTGGTGATAGTCATTTCTGAGTGTTGTAATTCACACATGACACTCTGGTCCTTGACACAGTTCTGTGCCACAGAAGTGCTAAGAGGCTAGGAGGAGAACAACTTAAAGATGCAGAGGAGAATTTAACATATAAAGACTTCTAATGTGAATTCTCTAAGAATAGGGAGTCAGAGATGAGTAGTTAGGAAGAAATAGCAGGTTGGTGAAGTTGAAGCAAACATGAAGTTCGTGGAGATTAGTAACCTTACACATGAGATGAATTTGTGTTAATTGTACTTTGTAGTCCCATGAAATTTATCAAATCCGGAAACTAACGAAATGTGAAAATTCCTGAAAATGGAAAAACAAAAAAATTGCAAGTCAATAATGTGGGGATAAATTCTCACACGTCTATAGAAATGGAAATATGAAAAGCATTTTTACTGTTTTGAAACAGAGTTACTTCAAATAATATTTTCTGTGAGTTTACCAAAGTAATTGGAATCATTGTTTCACTTAAACATAATGGGTTTGAGGATAATCCAATAGGGGGAGGGAAATAGAAACGGATAGGAAGAAAGAGAAAGGGAGGGAAGAAGAGAATGAAAAGGAGAAAAGGAAATGGCCCCGCTTTACACAGCCTGCCAGACAGAACCTATAGATTCCTGGCGATTCTCCCATCTAAAGGACAGAAGGCAAGTACTGTGCTTGAGGGCAAACAGCTGACTTGAAAATACAGACTGTCAGAAAACCGCAAAGCCTTGGTACAGTACAGCCCAGAACTCCTGGACTCAAGCGATCCTCCTGTCTCAGCATCCCAAGTAGCTGGGACTACAGGTGTGTGCCACCGTGCATGGCGCCCCAGCGTTTCTAAATCTAATATTAACCAGGATGCAGGGGAGTCTCACGGTTATGAGAAGCTGAGCTGCACTTCACTGAAGTGTCCCTGGGTGGACTTTATCCTGTCCCACAATGGAAACGCGAGTAGCGATCTTCTTCCTCTGGGTTGGGAATACGTGGCGATTTTCTTCTCCTGCTGGCTCAGCGAGATAGCACTGACTCTCTGAGAAGCAGACGAGGCAGCTGGCAGCGCACTGAAACCCAAGTTTCAGAGCCTCTGAGGCCAGAGTTCCTCCACTCCCAACCGTCTTTTCCAGTTACCTGCCCACACCTAAGTACGCATGTGCAGAGCTCCTGGGCAGAGACCTGGTCACCACGCAGCCGCAGTGTGTGTGAAATAAGCCCCGCCCCGAGGGTGGAGCCTCGAGAGTCGAGGGTTGGGCTGAGGTATTTTCATTTGGAGGGACGGACTGACAGCTAAGTGGGTGGGAGAAGTCCTTGGCTTGGGTTGATGTTAGGTCCTATCGTGTGGGATATGCAACAAGGGACGGGCTTGATGCTTGCCCAGATAAATGGGGATTGCCATCTGATGTGGTGCATCAAGTTCTCCAGGGAGGCGGCGCTTGTTTTTATGTCGGGTAGGGCGGGGTTTCTCAGAGGCCAGACAGGGATGGGGTTTGGCAGTTGGGCAGAATTTTGGGGACTTGCTCTTGGGTGGGGGGACTGGTGCTGCTGCAGGGCAGGTCTTGCCGCAGGGCGGGGTTTGCTTCTGCCGATGTGAGGGCGGGGCTTGTCTGTGGGCGGGGCCTGACACAGTACCCAGGGAAGATCCCTAGCCAGGTCTCAGAGCCACACCACCATCCTGGAGCCCTGGGTAACTAGCCTTGCCCTGTTCCATTCGCTGCAGCCTTTGTAGAGCTGCCGGGTGGAAGGTTGACCTGCCTGGCCACTGCACACTCTCCCAGGCTGTCCTGGTGACCCGCCTTGTCTGGGAGAGGTGGGGTTGATCTGTCCCCAGCGGCTGCCCTAGACCTGTGCATTTTCTGTCTGTATAAACTGTGCAGAGAAGGTCCTGGGGCGACGCTCCCAGTGCCAAGTAGTTGATATTTTATTAAACTGCTGCTTCCTTTTGCTCAGTTTGGAACAGCTGGAGGCCTGCCCAGCTTTGAGTTGCACACAAACAAACAATTACCTTTTAGGTGTAGACAGGTTTCCAGTAATGTTGTATTTGATATATATTTATGTGAAGGCAGTTATTATTTGTTTGAAATTAGAATATAAGCAGGTAGTGTGTTATTTAGAAGAATTTGTGCTAAGATTTTTGTCTGTATTTAATAAAAGAAGAATGTAAGGTCTAATTTTTCCCTTTGCATTGACTGTCGGTGTAACTAAAGATTAGTTGAGGAAATTGGGGATGTAAGGTGGGGTACCAGGTTAATAATCCCTTAGATACTAGGTTATAGATACTAAATTGACTGTTTAGCTATTATAATAAAGTTCAACTTGCCGTTGTGACTGTTGTTGATTTTAAATACCGTTAAAATTGTGTTTAGCTCGTGAGAAAAAAATATCCTGTCAGCATCTTTAAGCCGTCTGTCTCCAGGCCATCCTCTTCCCTTAAGCACATGGCCCACTGGTGTATTTCACTTAGCACCAAAGATATCCTTGATATCATAAATAAAGCAGCTGTAGGATCAGCAAGCTCCCTCCTAGTCCTTACCCACCATGATCTCTTCCTGAGTCGTTACTTCCTTCAGACACACAGATGTCTATTTGTTTACTGAACTCAAGCTTTGTGTGCACGTGTGTCAGTATTTCATGGCTGTGTTCTTAGTGCCTAGAAAAAATTGGCAACAATCATTGTGATGGATGGATGTGTGTACTTGGTGTGGAGAAGGAATGGTTAAAATCACACATCAAGATAAGGCTACTTGTTGACAAAATATGTTAAAGACTGCATAGTTAAGAAGTAAATGGCATAGAAAGATAAGGTGGTGTTTCCAGAGGTGGGACAAGTGCTCCCTGAGATTCTTTTATCTCCCCATCCAACTCAGTGAGATCAGCCCACTGACTGTAAATGTTTTCCCAAACTCCATCCTCCTTCATTCTGCTTTTTAAGTAACATCCAAATTATGTTTCCATCCTTACAGTTTGAACAGCATTTTTATTTAATATTTAAAGAGAATAACATGTGAAGGGAAGGAGAGATGATGAATGCTGCTTCACTTAAATCCATCCTGTACCAATATGAAAAGGTCTTCTTCTCCACAGTGACAGAGATATCACATTACATTAAGCAACACAATCACAATGAAGTCCATACAGGATTTTATTCAAATGCAGAAACACACAAGCTAGCTCTTTTTAAAGTTTTACAAATTAATAAAGAATGCCTATTGTAAGAAACCTGACAACAGTGTCTCTTGAATTATTATAAATAATCCAGTATCACAGGGTGCAAATGGTTTCTGCTCTCACACTCTTTCCATGTCAGGGATCGCCAGGCTGAGACTGTGTTCTCTAAGTGTCATTTAGTCTAAGATTGTTCACTCCATTGACTCAGACACAGGAGTTAATCTTACTCCACCACACTCCCCTTGTCATTAGTGAGCCTGGTCTCAAATATGAGATGCCTTGGCTGTCACTACATTCCACATCGGCTGAGAAAATTCCTGCTCTGACAGCCCCATGGAGAATATGACCTTAGTCCAGCAAGATCAGCCAAAGCAATAGCAAGTGTGGGCCAGGAACACTGGGACTCTGGCATGAAAAGCTCCTCATTCTTAGACTCATCCTGGAGTGTGAAGATACACTTAAGGAAATGGAACACACACATATTGAGGTTATTTAGTGGCCCATCATTAATAACAGGGTCTTTTCCTGTTCTTTGAAATCTACTTGAAACAAAGGACGAACACTGCAATCATTTGGGGTGTCAGAAGGGCGCTGATGTACATTTAGGCACCATGTTTATAATAATGAAGATTTGGCTGATTTGAGATGTTTCATGCCTGTCAAAGACCACACATATGATCTCAGTAAAGAAAAGTAAAATTAAACAATAAAGATATCTGTCAGTTGATTCCAAACAATAAATCTTAAAATTCTGTCAGTCACACATTGCCTTTATTCGAACATGCCTTTCTGTCAGACATAGTTTTCGCCTGTCAATATGTAGTATCCTTATGGGACTGATATTAAATACACACATGAGTTAACTGTGTCCACATAGAACCCGGAAGTCCCTAACAGCTTGTTTTCTTTTCCTGTCCATTGCAGTTGCTGGATTTGTGCTTATGCCAGCTGAGAGAGTTTTGCAAACATGTTTCTTCCTGAGTCTGAGAAAAATGCCTCTGGTTGCCAAATGACCAAGAGTGCAGGGAGAGTTTTACTGGGGTTGTGACATGGAGAAACTTAAGTGAGAGAATAAAGAGTGACATTAGAGCCTGAATAATACAATCAATTGTCATGGAAATGACAACAAAACACAAGAAAGTCCCCTAATATGAATATGAACTGATCAGGCGTCAAAGACAATTTGAATTATAGTAGGGGCAGCATTGTCTTAGTTGGGGATTTTTTCAATTACTGTGATAAAACACTAACCAAACGAAATTGGGGAAAAAGTGTTTATTTCATCTTATAACTTAGAGCCAAATAATGATGTGAAGCTAATGCAGGAACACAAGGAGGTAGCTGATGTAGAAGACATGGAGGAATGCTTTTGTTTTGTTTTGTTTTTTGTTTTTTTTTCATTTTTTTAATTTTAATTTTAAATAGCTTGTTTTACATGTCAATCCCAGTTCCCTCTCCCTCCCCTTCTCCTGCAATCCCCTTCCCCCCCCCCCAGCCTCCCACCCTATTGCCAATTCCTTCCACATACAGGAAATGGAGGAAAAGATAAACCAAACAATTCAAGAGATAAACAAGTCTCTCAAAGAAAGCAGAAAGCCAAGAACAAAAAAAAAAAAAAAAATACAAGTAAGTGAATGAAACAATTCAAATTGTTCAATTCAAGTTTCTGTTTCCCAGACTCTCTGGCCATGGGATTGTAGGCTGGCACTTCCCCAGATCTATGTCTAAAATACATATATGAGAGAGTGCATGCCATGTTTCTCTTTTTGTGACTGGGTTACCTCACTCAGGATGGTTTCTTCTAGTGTCATCCATTTGCCTGAGAATCTCAGGATTCCATTGTTTTTTTCTGCTGAATAGTACTCCATTGTGTAAATGTACCACATTTTATCTATCCACTCTTTGGTTGAGGGACATCTAGGTTGCTTCCAAGTTCTGGCTATTACAAATAATGCTGCTATGAACTTAGTGGAAAAGACATCTTTGTTGTATGAATGGGCATCTTTTGGATATATGCCTAAGAGTGGAGTTGCTGGGTCTTGTGGTAGGTTTATTCCCATTTTTCTGAGGAATCTCCATACTGATTTCCAAAGTGGCTGAACCAGTTGGCACTCCCACCAGCAATAGAGGAGTGTCCCACTTTCACCACATCCTCTCCAGCATAAATTGTCATTGGTGTTTTTGATTTTAGCCATTCTGACTGGAGTGAGATGGTATCTCAGAGTTGTTTAGATTTGCATTTCCCGGATGGCTAAGGATGTTGAGCACTTTCTCAAGTGCCTCTCAGCCATTTTAGACTCCTCTATTGAAAACTCTCTATTTAGTTCTGCAGCCCACTTTTTAATTAGGTCCTTTGATGCTTTGGAGACTTGCTTCTTGAGTTCCTTGTAAATTTTGGAGATCAACCCTCTGTCAGATGTGGAGTTAGTGAATATCTTTTCCTATTCTGTGGACTGCCATTTCCTCTTGTTGACTGTGTCCTTTGCCTTACAGAACCTTCTTAGTTTCATGAGATCCCATTTGGTAATTGTCGATCTCAATGTTTGTAATACTCGTGTTATGTTGAGGAAGCAGCCTCCTTTACCAACTGTATCTCCCAATTTCTCTTCTAAGTGTTTCAGTATGGTTGGATTTATGTTGATGTCTTTGATCCATTTTGGCTTAATTTTTGTGTAAGGTCTGCATGCAAATATCCATTTATTCCAGCACTATTTGCTCAAGATGCTTTCTTTTTTCCAGTGTATATTTTTAGATTCTTTGTAAAAAATCAAGTGTTCATAAGTATGTGCGTTAAAGATCAGGGGTTTCAATTTGATTCCCTTGGTCTACCTGTCTATTTTTGTGCCAATAGAGCTTGTGAAATAGAGCGTGAAGTCACATATGGTGATGCCTCCTGAAGTTTCTTTAGTTTATAGGGATGTTTTGTCTATCCTGGGTCTTTTGTTATTCCATATAAAGGTGATTATTGTTCTTTGAATGTTTGTGAAGAATTGTGCCGTAATTTTGAT